AAGTGCACCCGTGTGGCGCAATGCCCACCGAGAACAGAAGAGGCTGTCTGATCCCCTGGCACTGAAGTTACAGACAGTTGTTAGCTGCCATGTGGGTACTGGGATTCGAACCCGGATCCTCTGCAAGAACAGTCAGTGTTCTTAACCACTGGGCCATCTCTCCAGCCCCGACATTTTAGCTTTAACTCTGTAATTTGTCAAATATTTAGCTAAGCAACTGCTCAATGGCAGGCATTGTGGCAGCCTCCGCAAAAGACAAAACACAGCTATTTATTTATTTTTCTCTTGGTGTTTTTGTCATTATGTAACTCAGGTTATCCTCAAACACTGTTGTGCACTGAAGTTCAATAAAAAGCCCCATTTGTTAAAGATTGTATAAGACTGATTGGTCATAACTTCTGCTTGTGGAGAGTTGGTATGCTGCAAAACCAGAGCCAAATTATCTTGGGCTATGTTTAGTCTACTTAATTGCCCTGTTCATTGCTTACCCCTGTGTCTCACCTAACATCATTGTGACTCTCAGGTAAATCATTTTGGAATACATTAACAGAATGCTGGCTTCCCAAAGCTAAAAATGTCATCAGATACCATTTGAAAACTACAGCAGAGATTTTCCTGCTTTGCTATAACACTTCTACCTGATTCTCCTACATTCATTTCTGTTGCTGTGATGAAAATAAATGAATAAAATAGTCTTAAAACAGTCTTAAGGATGGATCCTTAAATTTACAGATAAGTATCCCAGTCACCACCCGTCAAAGTAGCTTCTTTTTCAACAGAGAGTATTACAGAGTTACACAACTGGTCATCCAGAGATTATCTGTGAATTGCCCAAGCCTAAGTGTCACATTTAGGATGCAACCTTTACACTTAAAGACTCACAGAACAAAGAACAGAGATGAAGAGAACACTAATGCATCTTTCAAGTCTCATCATTGAAGCTCCCTCAGGCAACAGAAGGCCAGGAACACAAAAGGCCACAAATGGCCAAAACACAGAGAATAAGCATCAGCAGAATGTGGGTCCATGGACAGGACTCCTATATTGAGGTCCATCCATCCAGGGCTCAGGGACCATTGGGGAAGAGGAGGCGGAAAGATTCTAAGAGCTAGGGAGGAGGTGCATGACCATAAGGAAATGGTCCTAGAGGTGCCTGGGACCTTTCTCATACAAACCTACAGCAATGGTGTCAGCATGCAAAAGACCCATGCAAACTTAAGCAGACAAAAACCCAGCACAGAGAAGTCCTTCCCTGACCTCCCTTTACTTTCCTGGGCTGCACAGCCTCCAGGCGTCCTGGTGCCAGCACCTTTCCTGGTTTCCAGGAGCCCTCTGGGTCTGGTCCCACCCTCACCTCCCTTTCCTTCCTGGGCTGCACAGCTGCCAGTGTCCTGGTACCAGCAACTTCCCTGGGTAAGTCCAACGGGCCCACCTCGCCTTGACTCCCCCAGCCTCTTTCACCCTCCCAGCTCCCCCACCACGTCTCTCCTCCTAGCCTGGGTACGGGCCCATTTCTTGTTTTGGCACCCCAGACACCGGGGTAACCTCTCAGCCCAGAGCCACCACTGCTTCCAGATCCTTTGCATCTGGACGAACCCACCTCCTCCCTACGGCTGCCAGGAATCCTCTGGGCCTGGTCCCGCCCTCAACTCTCTTTACTTCCCTGGATGACACAGCCACAAGCTTCCTGAGACCAGCATCTATCCTGGGCCCTTCTCCCAGGTCAGCCCAGCCCCCAAATTCCTGAGGGCAGCATCTTTCCTGGAGGGACCCAGACCTTAGAAGAAAGCCTGAGACCATCTGAGCCTCATCTCACTTGGGCCTCTGTGGAACTCCTGAAGACAAAAGCAATTAGGCCACTCCCATATAAAATCAAATGAGAGAACCTGAAGCCTAGACCAACAAGCTTTTCACGCCCAACAAGTAAACCACAAAGGCATATAAAGTGTACAAAAAGAAGCAGATCTAAACCCAACAATGGAAGGCTTGAGTCTCACACAAGAATCAGAAACTATGAAAGAATTCACATAAAACACTCAGAGAAAAAATAATAACATGAAAAACCAAAATAATATATCCTCACCAAATACCAACAGTCCTCTAGAGGAGTACAATGAGAACTCCCCAGAGATAACACAGGACATGGAACTCAAAAGAATAATTTAAACATGATAAAAGAATTCAATGAATTTAAAGAACACAAAAACAAATCAAAGAACTGAAGGAAGATAGGGATAAACTTCTGAATGAATTCAGAAAAGAGTTAGTAATATTGAATACACAGGCTGCGCTGAAATGAAGAAGAAAGTGAAACACTCAGCAAGCCAATTAGAAATGACAAGAGAAAGCCTCACCAATAGGATGAATGAAATGGAAAACAATATCAAGACTGGAAGATAAAGTGGATGAACTAGACCACGCAAGCAAAGATTATGAAAAATACACCATAAAAAGACCAAACTTACAAATCACAGGCATACAGGAAGGATAAGAATCTCAAGATAATGGTATGGAACAGATCTTCAACAGCATTGTAGAAGAAAATTTCTCAAAATATAAAAAAAAGACATGCCCATACAAATACAAGAAGCATATAGAACACCAAATAGACAGGACCAGAAAAGAAACTCTCCACGGCACATCATAGTAAAAACACTAAACATACAGAGCAAAGAGAATACTGAAAGCAGCAAAAGAAAAACAACAAGTCATATATCAAGGAAAACCCATCAGGATTAGAGCTGACTTTTCAGTGCAAACTATGAAAGACAGAAGAGCCTGGACCAAAGCATTCCCAGTTTTAAATGACCACAAATGCCAACCCAGATACATTACCCAGCCAAAATGTCTATCATAGTTGAAGGGGAAAGAAAAATCTTCCATGACATAAATAGGCTGAAAGAAATCATGTCCACAAAACCAGCCCTTCAGATAGTTCTTGAAACAATACAAAGAGCTGAAGAAAGGAACGACTATACACACGGGGTGATGGAAAGAAATTCAAAGAAGGTGTGACTATGGAAATGCACAGCTATTTCAAGAATGTGAACAGAAATAAAAATGACAGGATTCAATAGACATCTTTCATTAATAACTTTAAATATCAATGGACTGAACTCCCCAGTCAAAAGACACAGACTAGTTGAATGGATTAA